AAAAGTAAAATCAGTATGAGATTCTGATATTGCTAAACACCGTATGGTTACTTTGTTTGTAACTTAAGATTCCCTGAGAAAGACTTGGAAATTAATTTTTTTTGTTTTGGCATTTTAATAGATGCAAGCGCTTGACTTGATAGTAGATGCCTATAATCCCAGCACTTGGGTGGGAGCAGCAGGGAGGTCAGAAATTCAAGACGAGCTTTGGCTACATAGGGATTTTGAGGGCAGCCTGGGCTATATAGAGACCTGCCTTTAACACACACACACACAGAGAGAGAGAGAGAGAGAGAGAGAGAGAGAGAGAGAGAGAGCGCCAAAGGAAAGCAAACAAGACAACATAGTATTACACTTAGTGGCTGCTGAAATACAGGTGATTTGGGGTATGGAAGTCTCTGATTTCTCCATGCATTTAAAAGAGATCATCCATTTGTCTGGCAGCTTTGTAGTTTACCATACATTACTAAAGGCCTTTCATGGACTACATTTAAAAGAAGAAATTGCCTATCACACAGTTAAATCTCCATTCCAAATCACTGGTCTGCTATACTGATTCCCACATTTATTGAATTTAGTCATCCTCAAAAACAAAAACAAAAGTAAATTATTAGAAGGCTTTCTCCCCACAGTTCCAAGATTTTATGACTAGAGTTGGCTGTAACTTTGTCTCTTACACAAACGTTCATGTCAAGACACGTATGAAATAGAAGGCCTTTATGTTTTAATGTGGTATTTTAATGAAATGCTAGACTCACTGTGAACATTGATGGAAAGGAAGGAGACTTGGTTTTGGAGTCAAGCGCTAAGCAAGGGATGCCTTGGGGAGCCACATGCTCACCGAGCTGCTCTGGATATTGACAGGCCACAGACTGACTTGAAGTCTCAGAGCCTGGTGGGCTTAGCTGGGTATCCTCTGCAGGACTAAGTTCATATTCCACTCATGTTCTCTGATTGTCTCTGTGCTGATGACCTCCTTCACTTTATAAGGTGTGGTGATGGTACCCTGTGCTGCCGAGGCAGTTGAAAGCTTAAGCGAGATGCTATGTGCAGCTGTGCCATGCAAGCATGTTCCTGTGGTATAAAGACCTGCATATCATGGCCTAGTGCAGCTGCAGCAACTCAGGAGGATGCGGCAGGAGGGTTGTAAGTTCAAGGCTAGCTTTGGAAACTTAATAAGACCTGTTTCAAAGTAAAAAAAAATGAGAGAGAAAGAGACAGACAGACAGAGACAGAGAGGGGAGGGAAGAGAGAGGGGAGGAAGAGGAGGAAAATAAGGAGGAATCAAAGACCTTCACAGGATCTTGGAAATGTACTCCAGATTTCTAACATTTGGCAATCTGTTGTCTTATTATTTTTAATTTTCTCAGATACTTTATTTTGAATACTTTCTATTTCTTTTACTACTTATGGTAGAATATGCGCTCACGCATGCACACACACACATATACAAAGTCCTTAGATTGAAACCCAGGGAAACATTACTTTCTGTCTCTCATTAAGACAGAAGCACTTTACAGGGATTGGGGACATAGTACAGTGGCAGAGTGGTTGCTTAACATGCAACCTTTGGTGTGATCCTCTAGCACTGCAGAAAAAAGAAAAAACCATATGCATAGCATATCTACATTTTTATTGTAGAAGTGGTTATATAATTACTTATAGTTATATAAATTCTTGAAAAGAGAAAAGAATATATGCTCGCAATTCCATGAGTACAACAATAGGGCTGCACATTGGTCATTTGTATGAATGTAAGGGTTTCTGAGGTAGCTTGGGGGGAAGAACCCAGGTCTCAGAGTTGTTAGAACTCAGCAGTTCTAGGTAGTCTTGTGGAGTGGGTTCTTCTATGTACATTTATACACATGCATATATATCTTTCACACATAGCTGCACATTTTAAGCTACAGTATTATACAAATATGAATGTTCTTGGTGTGTCTTCTGTACCTCAACTTCGAGGATCGGGTGCTTTATGTGGCTGGTGTGGTGGCTAGCACACCATTAGTATCAGCAGACAAGTACTAGTTGTTCTCACATACCCTGTTAGAACAGTTGCATTATTTTCCTGATACAGGGCACCTGCTGCCTTGCTGTCCATCTGCAGAGCCTTCAGCCCTACTGTAGAGTCTCATGTTCCCCCTCAGCACAGTTCCCCCTATAGGTGGGTTTAGGGAGCTAACGAGTTAATAGCTACAATAGCCTCATTCCTTGTAAAGTTCAGTGTTGAACTTTCTAAACTTTTGGATTCTATTTGCCAGCACCTTTAAAAATTATTATTAATTTTTTATCTAACATCCATTTCTACTAAAACTTTGTAATTGTGTTACCTGGTCCCTTTAGCAAAGATATTCTGTCACATAGGCAATAGGTATTTCTGATTGCTCTCTTGTATTGAGGTTCATAAAAAAAAAATCCACACACAATGTGCACTGCCTTCTCACCATTTTTGTTTGATCAGGTGGTTGTACCTTGACTGTTCTCAGGGTGGGTCTCCTAATCCAGTGGGCTCATCTTTTTATTGTAGAATGGAATCTGTTTACTACCAGAGTTAGGGTTAAAGCACAGAGGCTCTTCATGGACCATGAGAACATTTGCCTTGATTTAAAAAAAAGTGGAATAGACAAGAGTGGAGCTAGGATACTGCTTTTATCACAGGTTATCATTTTAGCTCTTCATGATGGGCATCCTTTAGTCAGCCTTCATCCTACTACTCATCCCAAGGCTTCATCAAGTTTCAGGAGAATTCCTCCTCTTACCTCTTCTTCTGACCTTATTAGGCTTTTGCTTTCAAGGAGACATTAGACCTTGGTAAGATTTAGGGATAAAGGGCATAGAGGCTTCATGTAGATGATGCTGGAAAATCTACTCTCTCCTGTTAAAACTTCCTTCCTGACAGAGGTATTCCACATCCCATGCTAAAGAGGCCTTGCCTAGGTGTCCTTGGCATAGCAAAGAGTATCTGTTTGGCAGACTAGAGAACCCTTCAGTTACCACTGAGGAAGCAAGGAGGCCACCCTCCCTGGGTCTTAGCATGAAAATCACACCCGATTTTCTTCCTAGAGGAAGTGTTTTGTATCTCCCACTAGACTGGTGAGTTGAGAACATAGAGTGACTCCAGTGTAGGAGTGAAGAGGGTGTGTGCCTGGGGGCAATGCAAGCTATGGAGCTTTCAGATGCATGGCTGTGAAGAGAACAGCATAGGTGTTAAGGGAGTAGTCTAGGTCAATTTTAATGGGTCTGTAAGGCCTTTCAACTTTGACCTTCAACTGTCCTTTATTGGTTACTTACTGTTCATCTGTCTGTCCTCTTGCAAAATGGTCCTCTCCAGTCATCAAAACCTACATGAACGTCTATAAGAGGATACCTACTCTTGGTAACTAAAGGGAATAACAGGCTTGCACAGGGGTGTAGTGATACCAAGGCAAAGACGATGGCACAGAAAGACATTGCATTGGCTTACGAGTCTAGATCTATAAATATATTTATTATAATATAACAACTTAACAATAAACATATACTATATACAATACCATTACAGAGAACCCTGTTTTATATCATTCACAGAAATAGCCAGTTTTGCTCCAGTGTGATAGATGAGGAGAGAAACGGAATTTCAGTGTCACTGCGGAGTCCTGTTGGCCACTAACACCTCCCTTGGAGGCAGATGCACAACAATGCTCACATTCGCCCTGCCCCAGGCAGTTAGGAATTTGTGCTCCAGTCCTTGGGTTCACACTTGCACCCTGTTTGACATAAATACTTTTAAATGACATACAATGTATGTAGTTTTGTGCTTATTACTTTTTTTAAATAATAAATAATATTAAAAACTGCATAACGAAGCTCGGTATCTTGTCAAGTGGGAGCCACACTTGTAATGCTAGAAGTTGATGCCCGTCGTTAGGACTGGAATTTTGTGTCATCCGATACTGAATGATGGAGAAGTGTGTCCTGTCTTTTTTTCTGTCAATGGTTCTTATGAAGTGATGGCAACCTGACTTCCCAGGTAGAAAAATGGTGTGTATTTGGTACTAACGTCAACTAAACAGCACGGTGGTGGTGGCGGTGGCGGCCTTCTTCCTGCCCTGGAATGGAAACTGATGACCGGGTGAGGTTTGAGGGTCTAAGGACCAATGGGAAGGCCTTTCTCTTTTGAGCCTCGTTGGGAGCTTGCTTGCTCTTGGCTTCCCTTTCCCCAGGTTACTGTACAAAGCAGCAAGAAGAGCGGTTCTATTCGTGCCCCTCAGGCCGTGGCTGTCATGGCTCGTCTAAGAAAGCTGTCCCCATCCTGAGAGCTCTTGTGGCAGGTGCCTTGAATATATAGCTATAAATATCAAAAATAGTCTCCTGTGCTTTGTGGACATCTCTTCCCTCTCCCTCCCTCCCTCAGTCCCTTTCCTGGGTCCTCGGCTGTACCTCATGGAGGGAGCTGGACTGATGTCAGAAGCCAAAACTACATTCTTCTAGAACAGACCCTTCTGTCCCCGACAATGCCTCCATAAGGCACGGCCTTTCAGGGCTGCCTGGGAGTTAACTTTTTCCAAAAATAAAGTGGGGGTATGGCCCACCTCAGGAGAGATCCTCTACTCTGCACATAGAAAAAATGAGAGCAAGTGCCCCGCCTCTGGCACTGCCTACAAAGAGCTTTGGGAAGTCCCACAGCGTTGCCCCTCTTGTGGCCTCCTCCTCTCAGTACTTAAAAATAGCCTTTTGTGTATCAAGAAAATGCCTTGGAAATCTAAATAATTCATACTGGTTAAGAGAAAGCTAGTACATCCACCATGTCTTTTTGCAGCGAAAACATGGTAGAAAAACCCGCGAAGGACAGGTGGCTCTTCCCAGCGATTCCTGCGGCTGCCAACCCTGGCTCTACACACACAGCTGGCCCTCTCTCCCATCCGGTGGCAAATCAGCCCCCTCCTAGGCCTTGGTGCTGCACAGTCCTATTCCTCATTTTTCTCTCGGCCACTTGAAAGTGTAGATTGGTTTAAAAAAACAAAAACAAAAGTAGGAATCAAAGTGGTAAGGACACTTTGACCTTATTCCAAAAGAGCCTGATGCCCAATATTGTCACAGGATAACTGATCTATGGTGGTTTAGGGATGGAGCTTGCTCTGCAAGAAGGAAAAAAAAACAGCTTCTTTCCCAGTTGAAAAATATGTGAAACTATTGCACCGGGCAGAGCGAGCGCCCCCTGTTGAGAGCAAGCGCCTTGGCTAGCCAGCGAACCCTGGCTCCGTGCGTTCCAGGTTCCTGTCGCCCGAGCGCTGTGCCCCGCTTCACCCAAAAGGCGAGGATGAATTTCTACATTCAATGTAGAGAATATTCGAAATGTTAGCGCAGTGAGTTTCTTGATTGTGTTTTGTGGGCCTCTCGTTGGTGTCGAAAGATAACCATGGTGTGTGGCATTTGCCTCACCAGATTCGTCCCATAGGCTTGTCCTGTGCTCTCTGCTGATGTCAGCCGCTTTGAATGTATTTCTTTATCACGACACAGCCGTGTCTGAACACAGGACAGGGCATGTGGGGTAGGAGGGTCCACGTGTTGGTTGTGGGCTCGTAGGCTTCCATGTTGCCCAGGGCTGGTCCTTCACTGCTCACGATACCTCCAGTGGCATAAATTTTACCATCAAGCACCACGGCACTATAAGAGGGAATGAGGGGCAGAGTTAGGCCTTGAGCTTCCTATTGGTTCTGGAGACAGAATCCCAACACTGAACTGGTTATAGGGTCCCTAGACCCTCTTGCACAGGTCGTGTGGGAACTTGTTTTCTGCCACCCAATCTGGGCCTATTAACAACAAAACAGGTTCCCCATTTGTTAGACCTGAGTCAGTGATCTCTCACTAGCTCAGGTTATCTGATTCTGTGGGTTTCCCCATCATGTCTTGACTCCTTTGTTCATATTATCACTCCTCTCTCACTTGGGTTGTACTCCAGGAGCTCTGACCAATGGTTAGTTGCTGCACTTAATTCTTAAAATGCATGTCAGCTGCTGCTTCTAGCCATATTTCTGTCCCTGACTTCTTTACTCCATCAAATGGCTATTTTTGGAAAAGGGACCCAAGAGTCTCCCAAGGCTCTACTAATTTCTTTCAGAAGTCTCTGATCAGAATGCATCCCTGTGAGGGAAAATTAGTAACTAAAAGATATGGGACTCATGGCAAGAAGGGAAACCCAGAAAAAGCAAGTGCTTCTGCCAATAGCTATAGATAACTCCCTGACTGGAGAGGACATTCTCCCTGCCCCCATTATCTTAAGGAAAAGGCCACTGAGCCCACAGGTCCTAGAGAAAGAAAACCCCCTAACCTTGCAGATGTGCTAAACAATCCCGCCTTGTAAAAACTTTGTATTCTATGAAATCTCTGTAACCTTGGAAATCTTATGGGCTGAGACTAGCAGTCTCAAACCTCCCTTTTCCTTTAAAAACGTTTCACAATTGTAAGCAGGCACCTTACTCTTCTGATAGAGTGAGGTCCCAGCTGGTTAGGTTCTTAGCAATAAAAACCTTTTGCTTTTGCAGTCAGGAGTCACTTCCTTGGAGGTTGAGGAAACCTGGTAGGCACAACAATTCGGACTCTAGATTTCTTATCAGACACTGAGGGTTCCTTGGTGCTTCTCTCTAGTTCCTTGCTACTCTGGGCTTTTGTGTCTTTTTTTTTTTTTTTTTTTTTTTGCTGACTATATCTCCGTATCTCTCATGAAGGTCAACTTTTACCCACCCCTGGCACTCAATGTTTCCTGTTTGTAGTCTCAGGTGAAGCATGGACCACTTCCTCATTAGTCGAGATGCCACTGTCAGTAACGGAAAGGTCAGATAGAGATTTTGGTTGTGGAGCTGAAGGACAGTTCAAAAACTGAGAAATCAGAACTCTACCAGAAGCCTCAAAGTTCTCTGGTCTAAGCATCAGAGGAGATAGGATTTTCTAGGGCTGGGGAAGCTACTCACCCAAGTTGTAGCAGCATGTTAGGAGTGAGAGTTACCTTCTATGGTAACTCTACAAACAATAGGTACTCAATACATGCTTCTTGTTTATGATAACTGAAAACTTAGTCATTGCCTCTGCACTGACAACAAGGTATCTTAGGGAAGAACCTGCAAATGAGGCCTCCCTTACTTGTGTTTCTCTTAGACTGGTAAAGGAGTTGGAGGCCAGAAGAGCAAGGACTGGAGTCTCACGGACCTGGGGTCAGAATGCTTGAAGTCAATCTGTGCTCTCCCTCTTCTTTCTCCACAGGTTTTCAGCTAGTCAGTAAGTCTCTGAGACTGGGGCAGATGTAGCTTGTGCTCTTGCCTGGGTCGGTCATCATGGGGATCACACGAGACCAGAGCATTCCTGTCAGAGGTCAGTTGTCTTTACACGCCTCTGGAAGGCACCCTGGGTGAGAGCTGGCCTTGCTTCTCATGTCTCTTGCAGTGTGAGCTCAATGAGGTCTTATGGAGCCACAGTTTGGGGACCCTGGGCCGGCTGCTATCACAAGATCCCTCGTAGGGACTCCATTCTGTGTTCTAGCCCTGACATCCACTTCCCTGGGTGGAGGATGGGGAAGGATTCTGCTTCAGGTTGCAACTGTTCTGGTTTGGGGAGGTGCCGAGCCTTGTAATCACACTTCTCCCATGGGTTCACCCATGCACCCCTCCCTTGTCCCCATTCCTCTACAACTCCCTCCTCACCTGCAGAACTGGCGAGAGTGATTCATGTTCGGGCCTGCCTTGATGTTGCCCTTTTCTGGGTCATAGATGGTGGTGGCTCGGGCGTAAGCTCCTCCCAGGATGAACACAAAGCCATTGAGGGTGACAGCAGGTGCATACTTGTTGTCTGTGAGGACAGAAGAACAGGTGATCAAGTTTTGTGGTGTTGGCCTCCCTCCTTTCTCCTTCTCAACAGTGTTCCTAATGTCACTGTGTCGCTGATTGCCCTGAGGACAGGCTGGGGTCCAGGAGCAGCCCCGGTCTTGACTGGCTTGCCCTTTTCTAGGGACTGGTATCCCCACTGCACCTGGGCTTTGGGACTACCTACTACCTGCCACTAGACCTGGCTCTGCAGAGTCTTTGGACTTAGCCTGACTCTCTCTGGGATGTGGGATGCAGGACTGTGAGAGCCCTACTGGCCTGGACTGGGGAGATCCCAGATTCTTACCTATCATTGGGGACTCAATGAAGCTCCATGTGTTGGTCTGTGGCACATAGGACTGAAGGACACCTGCTGCTCGGCCTGCCTCATTGACCCCGCCAAACACGTAGATCTTGCCACCACACACAGTGGCCGCTGCTGAATGCACTGCCTTGGGCAGAGGGGCTACTGCTTCCCATTGGTTAGTGATAGTGTCATACCTGTGAAGGGAGAGAGACAGTCCTTGTGCAATGTAGGCCACAACAACAACATGTGGGGGGGGGGATCCAGCATCTTCCTTGAGCCTGCAGCATCACTGGGATAGTCTAAGTCCACAGATGGGGACCCAGGCTTGAGCCACTTCTAGGCAAAACTCCAAACTGGCTCTACAGGCCTCCTTTTGAGCTATATTGGGACTTTTTGCTGCCTGTCCAACCTCTGTGTAGATCCTGCCCTGGCTTACAGAGTGAGCATTCCTGTGGTGATGGTGCACCCAGAATTCACTGGGGAGACCATTGCTGCCTTCAAAGAGCTGCTAGACCAGTGGGGAGGACATCCACATCAAACATGCAAAATCCAATGATCATGAAGGATGGTGTGGCATGGTGATGAGGGGACCAACATGTGCACAGCAGGACACCCCCACTTTCTCTCATAGGTGGGGTTAAGACTCTGGAGAATGGCTTGGGTGAAAGGGCTATCCATGTCAGGTGGAGGTTGGGCAGGTGCAAATGACTCAGGAAGTGTGGTATGAAAGCAAAAGACACTATCAGGAGGTGTGGCCTTGTTGGAGGAAGTGTTTCACTGTGGAGGTGGGCTTTGAGGTCCCATATATGCTCAATCCACAACCATTGTTTTATACTACTTCTGTTGCCTGCGGGTTGAGATGTAAGAATGCTCAGCTCCTTCTCCAGCACCATGTCTGCCTGCATGCTGCCTTGCTTCTCACCATGACAATAATGGACTAAACATGTGAAACTGTAAGTAAGCCACCCCAATTTTTTGTTTTCCTTTATAAGAGCTGTTGTGGCCATGGTGTCTCTTCACAGCAATAGAAACCCTAAGGTAGGAAGCTAATTGAAGGTAAAGGGATAAATGTGGGCACAGTGGCATTTGAAGGGCATCTGGAGTAGTTCACCATGGCTTGAGGTAGGGTAGATTAGAAGGCCTTTTGTGTGCCATGCTTAGGGACTGACTTTGTGTAGGGAGTAGTAGGGGAATCCATGAAGGTTTAAGCAGTGAAATAACACAATCAAAACAGATTAGAGACCACTGTGGTGCAGGGTGGGAAAGGTACTTTAGGGAGGAGGCTGAACTAATTAAACTAATCACTCACAGGAAGCTTGAGGAGAAGCAGGTGTTGGGTCAAAGGATGATATGAGTGCGGGACTGGGCACAGGAGTGGTGAGGAGAGGTACATTTGCTGTAGAGGTATTGTAGCTGAGAGAGACAGGGCTACACGAGGTGCCTTGGGGACTCTGTCTTGGAATAACTTGGGAGGAGGCTGGTGGAGAAAGAAGAATTAATTTTAATCAGTGTCTGTGCATACATATCTACTCTGTGCAGTGGACAGCTGGTCATGTATGTAGATCTGGGTTAAACAGTTAGCTTTGGGGTCACCAGCACCAAGATGGAAATGAAAGCTAATGGATGCATTGGAGTACAAGTGGTCCTGATGTTGAGTACACACTCTGGAGAGGGTTGACTGTGAGAGGTGGTGAAGAGTCCTCTTTTGGGTCATCGGTCAGCACCTATGCTGTAGAAGACAAAGGGCCTCAAGTGTGGGTGGTGGGGTGAAGGCTTGAAGTCCTGAGCAGGCCATTGGGTTCCTTGAGGTTGTTGGCATTATAGGTGAAATGAGATGTACACAAGGCCCTGTGTGTCCGAGTGAAAGCGGGGAGTACACTGGAGAAAGAGGCAGTAGATGCACACTTCTCTCTGAGGAACCTGAGCCGTGAAGAAGGCAGAGATGGGGGTACTTAGAAAGGAATGTAGAATCCTTGGGGTGGGGGCATTGTTAGAATGCTCATTGGCATTTATTAGCCACCTCTGTGGTAACACCAGTTGGTTTCTGTGATGTAAAACCTTCCACCTGCCTGGCTCTATCAGCCAGCAGGATGTGTGTAGGGGTGTCGGGGGGGGGGGGAAAGCCCCTCTGTGCTGTGGTCACCACTGTCTAGACTCTGTCCCTACATGCAGCTCCAATAGTCATGTAAAACCCCAAGCAGAGAGCAGGAAAATATGGTGGCTAGCCATGAAGTGATGAATTGTGAGGAGTGTTAAGGTGGAATTCAAATTTTTCATAACTGGTTTACACAGTTCTCCAAATGTTATTGGTTGCTTCTCCTGAGCCCACTGAAATGGATTCTGGCACAATACTGGGTTTTCAACAGCAGTACAGGCAGAGGGGTGTTAAGTACATTTTTGTGTAGATAGGATGAAGCCCAGGGGAATGCGCAAAAGTTAACTTACAAATCTGCGCATTCTGCATCCATAGATGCAGTCACTTGCATATAGGAAATAGCTGAGAAACTGTATCTGTATTGAACATGTACAGATAATTCCATTATTTCCAAAAGCAATACATTACAACAGCCCTTTACATGGCACTTGCACTGTATTAGTATTGTAAGTGGTGTGTGAAATGATCTAAAGTGCCTGGAGTCTACAGCAGGCTGTGCATAGGTATTTGTAACTATGCCGTTTTATATGAGGACTTGAGCACTTGCAAATGTGTGTCTATAGGCATCCTGGAACTCGTGCCCTGTGGGTACCAAAGGGGCTTGCAGCATAAGCAAGAAAGGATGGTTCATAGCTGAGTCCCAACACTCAGATACTGACTCAGGAATTCAAGACCAGCCTGGGTAACATAGATCCCATTTGAGAGAGAGGAAGAGGGGGAGAGGTGAGAGAGAGAGGCAGAAAAGAGAGAACACACAGCTGGGGACCACAGGGAAATCTGTAGAGCCCTGAGCCCTCCCTCACGCCATGGGCATCTGTTGTTTGTCTTTGTAGGATGGGACAAAGAACTGAAGGCCCCTGGGTCCTGTAAGGTTCCTGGCAGATACAGAAGATGCCAATTAAAGTAGAAGAAGCTGTGTGTATGTGCAAAGCAGAAGTCAGGATGGCACAGCTTCAGGCATGTTACTGGAATTATCAGAGAGACATGAAAGGCATTTTTCTTTCTTTTTTTAAAATTTATTTTTATTTTATTTTCATTGGTGTTTTTCAGGCATGTATGTCAGTGTGAGGGTGCCAGACTTGTACTTACAGACAGTTGTTAGCTACCATGTGGATGCTGGGAATTGGACCCGGGTCCTCTGGAAGAGCAGTCAGTGCTCTTAACCATTGAGCAACCTCTCCAGCCCCCCCTCCACCTTTAATTGAGAAAGGGATACATGAATCCCAGGCTGATCTGGTACTTTCTAAGTAGCCAAGAATGAGTATAACCTCTGAAATCTCCCCAGGGTTGCACTCATAAAAGTGGACAGTGATCCCTACTTTTTGTAGTGTTAGGTCTACCTGTACTATAAGCATATACTATACCTCTAGGACATTTGAGTTCACAATCCTTGGCCCTACTTACTCTGGAAAGCAGGAGGTGGGGTGGCCAAAAGTAGTCAGGGAGCTTGTATGCAGGATCTGGGCTTTGAGAAGAGAGGAGAGCCTTGCTTTTGAGAGGAAATGGTTGCTAAGGCAGACCCGAGAGTACCTTGCAGTGTGTAGGGCTGGCTGGAGGCTTAGTCTCCTGTGTGTAGAAGGACCACTGTGGGATGCTAGGATTTTCCAGCCCCAGGAGAGAGGGGAGAAGGCAAAGAGTAGGGCTGAAGAGATCTGCTTCGCATACAGTGAAGGATGAAGGAGTTAAGTGAGATGATGGAGAAGTCTGGACATATTAAGGGAGCGGAGGCAGGGAACTGCTGCCAGAGCTAAGTGGGCTGGCTGAGGGGTTCTTTGTGGTCCCTGAGGTTTGCTTTTGGAGGACAAGTTCCATCAACCCATTAGCCAGCATTTCTGTTCAGCAATCCAAGGACCTAGCTGACCTTAGTGCTCCTGCCTGACTGTAGCTGTCTCAACAATTCCTGCACACCTACTAGCAGGGCACATTCATGGCTTTCCATACTTTGCCCTGTTCTGTATGTGTCTGCACCCAAAGCATGGGCCTGAGTTTGCTCACTGAGACATCAGGGATTTTGGTTAGCACACGGTTACGACCAGTACATAGTTCCTATGTTCCCCATGTGGATCCTCTGGGAAAAGGGTCTTATGGGGATCGTGCCTCTCTGGTTCTTGAGTGTGTGGGGAGGGGGCAGCCAAGTGATATCCACTTCTGAACTTGTATAGAAGTCGTGGAAGTCTTTTATGGGGCAGCAGGGGCTGATGCCATTCAGTCATAGATGGATGACACATAGCTAATATGTAATGGGGGCTGTGTCAGAGTTCAGATATCTGCTTTTTTAAGCCAATATGGCAGCAAGCCAAAGAGCTCCCACAGAAAGAGCTGGGGGATGAGAAAGATTATGTGGTTGTTAGTCCTCAGTCTTTCGGCATAATGACACATTCCTCCAAACACAAATTTCCTGAGAGTTTGTTATTCCAGGTGGCTGATTGCCAAGCCATGAGCCCTCCTGTCAGCTCAATCTGTCAGCTTCCTGCTTGAGAAGGATATGCTAATGACATGCAAATGACCTAGCTGAGTGAGGCGTTCTGCTATCATTTATGCAGTAACCACAGCTCCTGCAATATATTGCTGTAAAATATTAGACCCAGTTATTTATATAATGATATAATACAGGTTTGTCTATGGCGCTGTTGTTTTAATCTATAATTATGTAATCTTGCTCTATTCCTGCAACACAGTAATGTAATATAATTATAATACACCATATATCTCATTCATTATCAATATAATAGCAATTTGTACCATTAGTGCTTACTGTGGAACAAAGCACCCTCTTGTCTGTCCCCATTACACTGACCTTCCTGTCACCCTGAATTCTCATCAATGCTGCCATTTGGCATAGAGGCTGACTTACCCAAAGGAGCCTGCTCCTTGGGTAGCTAATGGGTGCCTGTACCTCTACATGCTCTACTCCCTTGCATGGGTACACCTAGGGGGTTCTCCCAGGCTTTGTCCTATCCTATGAGCATAGGATGACATCTTCATGGACCGAGGGTTCCTCAGGGTCCCCCAGGCTTTTCTGTGATCCCCAGCTGCTCTTTTATCCACCTCCTGGGGGGTGGACTTAACTCTCAGGTGCTTGGAGCTGACATTTATTTTACAGCCATCTGGAAGGTTGAGCTCCTTAGGAAAGACCGGTACAGGCAGCCCCCTGGGGCCTTGGAGAACTGCTTCAGGACCCAAGGAAAACAAGGGAACAGGAGCTCATCGCTCTCTTCTCCCCGTCAATGCATTTGATCTTTCAACAAATCCCTGTATTTATCAACAAGTAGAACTTTGCAAAATGAGTAATCAGCATCTTAGGAGATTAAAATAGCTGACAGAAGCAAAGCAGGATGGCATCCAGCTCAGAGGACTCCTACATAGAAGATGTCTTCTTGCTCATGTGTTTATTACTGGGTGACAGATGACTGGAAGCTGATGCTTCTGGGGGAGCCCAGGAGTGTACCTGGACATGTGGCAGGTTATGCTGAAGACCCCCCAGTGTTAGGGCTGGTCTGGGTCCAAGTACAATATTAATATACTCGTAATCACCTGGGGATTTCCCATTATCATCAAATCAATATGACAATTAAATGTTGTTACCAAGCCATCACTGGCTGCACTTGGGGGACTTAAAAGCCCACAGTGAACACTCAGAGCCTGTCTCACTCTGAAACCATCCTTGCTGGAACATTCATCAAGTGTCCAATTAGCCACCCAGGGGGAAAAAATTCAAATTGAGGGGTTTGTGTGGCTTCATAGGCAGAAAGGATGTCATGCTGCAAAGTGTGCTTGCTGGTGGCAGCTAATGGTGTGGGCCAGAGTAGGGGAAAAAGGAAAGACATTAGGCTCTACTGATCATAACCAGGGCTGTTCCCCGAGGCCAGGTCAGCCTTTTGTCACTCTCTGGGATACTAGTTTCTCCTGAAGCAAGACTGCGCTGCTAACTAATGGTCCTCTGCCACAGGTCCCAAGCATTTTTCTCAATGTGACCTGTCCATTCTAAGAGTAGTCTTCCTGCTTTGGAGGAAAGGGTCTTGGCATTTTCCCCTAAGGCAGTACCCACCCTCCAGCCTCTGGCCCTCAGGCCTATGCCTGACTTACACCACATCCTCAACAGCCTGGGACTTGTAACAAAGGGCACACTAACCTTGAATCTGGAGCTCATTGGCTTATTTATAGTTTTCTTCTGGAGAATTCTAGAGTGCTGGCCAGGCTGTGCTCCTACATTGCTTAGTTGGTAGGTGGTGTCTCTTCCCTGTGTTGCTACCAAATTACCTGGCATATGTAGGGCACAGGAAGGATGTGTGCAACCCTTACTTGGAAGGACAAAGTGGCACAACCACCCGCATGTCCCATACTTGGGATGTTGATTCCAGTTTTTCTCCCGAAATCTGGTATGTCTCTGGGCTGGTACCCCTAGCCAAGCTCACACATGTACATCCATGATTGGTTCTTGGGCCTGGAATAGGCCAGTATATAAGTCATTGGTATCAGGTAGGTGTTGGGAGGGGAGAAGGGATATGATATTAGTGTTTGGTGACTGAGAGATGCCAGCTCAGGGATGGTGGCTGCCTTACCTCTCCACATGGTCCACATTGCCTGCCACTCCAAGTCCCCCAAGTGTGTAAATCTTCCCATCATAGACAAGACTATTGTGGCGACAGCGAGGGACAGTCATTCTGGAGACCAGGTTCCAGTTATCCAACAGAGACATGTAGCACCAGACATCAGCCAGCGTCACCCCTGATTCCATACCACCTGTGGGCAGTATGGGGGTACAATGAGCAGGCAGAGGCCAAGGAAGAACTTGAGGACAGGGTACCAGGCTCCAGAGACAGCAGATATCATCTGTAAACCAGATCGATACTCTGGGGCCTTAGCCTTTGTTAGCTCCGTGTGTGGGCAGAGGTCCCTTTGGGAAACCCATCCCAGGTCCCGCCCAGCCCTTGGGAGCCTCACCTGAGAGGTAGATGTTGTCACCGGCACTCACTACACTGAAGAACTCTCGGTCATAGAAAGGCAGCGAGGCCAAGGGGTACCACTTGTTGTTCTGTGGATTCCAGCAGGTGACAGCCACCAGTGAGCGCTGGGTCATCCCCACCATCTGACGGCCCCCAACCAAGACGATGACCTCGGCCACACCTGCAGGGACATGGGTGGGCATCCTTGGGACATACCCTTACTTCATCAGCATCCTATCTGGGGGACCACCTGGAGCCAGCTGATTCCATGGCATCTGCAATTTTGGGGATTTGGGCATGTCCTTTGATACCTGCAGAGAGGCGGGGCCGGGTTCGGGGTGTCTGCATCTCCTGCCGGGCATGGGGCAGCATGTGGTAGCGTTTAGCCTCATTGACCAGGTCCCGGCATGCTTCTGATGACTTGATCAGCTCTTCATTGTCCACCACATTGAGCAGATAGCTGGGGTGGATGAATGGGAGGCGGACGGCAGCTAGGAGCTCTGCAGCATACTGCGGGATAGAAGAGGCCATTGTGCTTAGAGGAAGCCACCTCTTATGAGTTGAATGGAGAAGGACTCCCCAACTGGGGGTGTGCCATGCTAGACAACCACAGCAGGGGTGGAGGGTGGGGGGAGCAAGGAGGTCTAACTGGAGATGTGGTGGCTGCAGCTGGCCCCAGAGTAGCCTATCTCTCTATCCCTCCAGCCTCTTGTCTCCACACCCCATCTACATCCTAGATCCTGACTGCATGCCATACTTGGCTGAAACCTGAAAGCTCAAGTGCAGGAGTCTTGGGTCTTGAAGAGGTGTGAGTGTGACAGGAACTAGGTAGGAGGACACAGAAGAACTTAAATGAGTTGATGACTTTCAGGTGACTGTGACACCTGTGTGTCCTTAGTATTACAGCTCCGTAGTAGCATCACCTTGTCTCATCTTGGCTTCTGGACCCTCTTATTCCTCATGCAAGGCTTTTTCTGAATTGATGTGAACTTCCCCTGTGACAGGCAAACTGCTCACCATGCCACCCACTTTTGTGGCGTCCAGAGAATGACTGGCAGGAGTAATTGGCAGCCAATATATACCATATATTAAATTGTTACTGCGGCCTTGGAGGCTGATGAGACCCTGCTTCTGATAGGAGTCTAGCTAGGGCTGTGGAAGTGAGAGGTGTCACAGGGGAGATTCTGGTTGAGGTGGAAGAGGGGTGGGGACATCCAGAGGCACAGGAGAGTGAGAAGGGATGTGGCACTTGAAGAATTGCATGGGGTTTATTCTTGGGTGCAAATGGTTTTTTTTGGAACTGTGTAGCACTCAGCAGACGAGAAACAGCGAGACCAGGTCTCTGGGTACACCTAGCTGAGCTCTACCACACTCTGGACTGTGGATGTAGACTTGAGGGTTGTAGAGAACTATGTCAGTTACTATCATTATCTACACAACTCCAGTTCCTTTCTCTGTTTAAAAAACAAAAACAAAAACAAACAGCTTCTTGCCAACTTGATCAAATGAGTAATGTACTTCTCATGAACCCCAAGGACTCAGCAGTGGGGTTGAGTTGGGCCAAGGAGCCATCTCTGCATTCCATATCTCGCCCATTCTGTCTCCAAGCCTTCTTTTCCCTTTCTTCCTCACCTCACTGCTCCCTGTCCTTCCCTTCTCCTCCCCCTCCTCTTTCCTCCCTTCGCCTCCCCTCCCCTGAACCAGAGTTTCTTGTAGCTAGGGCTGAAGTAGTCAAGTCTGGCCTCGAATCCCTACTCCTCTAAAGTGCTGAAATTACAGGCATGTGTTACCATACTTGGCTTGTCCTTTTTATGCCCAATGAAATGTGACAGCCTTTTGGACCCATCACTTGGTGGCTTCCGTGTCTTCTGGGGTCTGGCTTCCCTGACTGTCCCTCTAGCTGGTTAGGCTCTTACATCCACCAATGTCCCCATTTGCCATTTTATATTCTGGCCCTTCCAAGGGCTTCCTGCAGCCACCATGACTTTCAGGCTCCTCACTACAATAACCAATGGCAATTCCCTTCTTCACAGGGCCTTCTGTTGGGGCTTCCTGGGTATGAATGGGTCTTTTAACTCCCCAAGACTCAGGTAACTATCTGGGAATAATGTTGTTTTTTCTTTTCTCCTGTAAATAAACACTTTGGTTTTTCTGACTCCTCTGGTAACTTCATGTCCTCACACACATGCAGTAGTGTCCCACTTCCAGAATGGCTTCTGTTTGCCCTCCACCCATTTGATAGCCAGAGTATGTACTCTGACCTCCTGGGATTTCATATACCCTGCCCAGGTACCCACTTTCCTGTGAAGAGCCCAGGTACTTCCTACCCAGACCCTGTGTTGCCCTGGCAAATGCGAAGACTCAGGCTAGGGGGAATAAAAGTCCTTAAGAGCCCTCTGGAGACTGATTCTCGTTTTTCATCCTTTCTTTCCCCTCCATGCCATTCTGTGTGTGTGTGTGTGTGTGTGTGTGTGTGTGTGTGTGTGTACATGTACATACTAGACTCACTCTCATTATTTCTGACTCCTAAACTATTTCTTTTGTTGAGACACAAACCCTGCCCCCTTCACCTTCTTTCATCTTTGCAGTAGACCCCACCCCTGCAGGGACTGGGTGGAACAGGCCCTACCTGTGCACGTGCCGCTGGGTCCTTCTTGATCCACTTGATAACAGTTTCATAGACCAGCTCCTCGGCCTTGGTGTTGAGACTGTCATTGGAGACATAGGCAATAAAGTCATCCTTAGAGATGCTAAGGATCTCCTCTTGGGCTGCCACCTCGGGGAAGATCTGCAGGGCGAAGGCCTTGGCCATGTGGTAGAGCTCGCTGCACTGCATGGCCTCAGCCATGGCCAGCACACCCAGGCAGTTGCTGGCGGTCAGCTGCTTCTCTGGGGGGGGGGGTAAAGAATGAATGGTTACTGATCTAGGAGTCCTGAGAGGACCACCTTTGCTCCTATCAGCATCCCTGGATCTTCCTCGGAACCCAATCCATTTCCTTGTGACCCTGCTTCCAGTCATTGTCAGCCTACCTCCTGTGACCCCGAGCCTCAGAGCCTCAGATCTGTTTCCCAGGTTTTCCTCTGCCCTAACTCACATGGACACCTCAGGGCCTAGTTCTACTCCTGCTGATCATAGCAGAAAAACCACAGCTGTGGGGGAATGGCATGAGCCCTTTCTTCCCTGAGCATGGAGGGAGGGCTGCAGTGTCAGGGTTTGGTCCTGGGCTGTGGGAAGCAGCCACTTTGGAGCTTACAGAGTCTTCCATTATAACATGTATGTCGATGTCACAGACATCTTTAAATCTCATAAACAGCAGCCTTCACATATCAATCCACTGTCTCCCATGGTCCTTAGATTCCCCTAGCCTACCTGGGGTCTGGTGGCTGGCTCTTCTGAAATCTGGCTAATGGCTCTTTTGGGCTAGAACTGGGTGTGTGTCTCATTTCTGCCTCCATGGCTCCTGGCCCTCCTGGATTGATTAGCTCCTTCAGCAGTCTTTATCTCATCTGCTCCCAACCTCTGCCTGTCCTTTCTGCATGCCACACCTTAGGCTCTGGGGTTTCGTGTGATGCTATCCTTGTCACCTTACTCCACAGCTCCTAGCCCAGCTGAGCCCCACCAAGCTGTAAATTGAGCATGCTCTGTGCAGGAAGTCTGGGAGGTGAGCCCATCACCAATATCCATGTCTTGCAAAAAACAACTCTGGGCTTCCATGGGTTAGACTGGATGCCCTGGCTTGTCCTCACATCTTTGTGGCCTAGGAACCAATATGTTAAAGGGGAATAGATTACATTCAAGGCTTAGAGGCCAGGGAAGAGTGGTCAGGTCCCCTGCCTGCACAGGCTGTTCACACATGGTAGTGGCCACTGGTTCTGACAAAGCCACAATGACTCCTTCAGTGCATGCCATCCCATCAATGCTCAGGTGAAATCTAGGTATCCTGGCATGATCTGGGGACATACAGCCCTCCTTGCTCAATTCTTGCTGGCTGGGAATTTTTCATAGATCTGCACCATTTTCTCCACATGATGTAAAGGCCAGCCGGTCAGCTCACCGAGAAAGGACACGCAGACCTTGCAGAAGGTGTGAAATTGGAACTTGCTGGCTGCCTCAAGCAGAGTCTTGGCATTGGCTGAGTCGATGACCAGTGAACCAGTGTAGACGAATTCCAGCAGTAACTCCAGTACATCAGCCTGCAGGTTTGAGAGCACCAGCTCCAACTTCTCCCGGCTGCCCTGGCTGCCGTCCTGCACTGACCTAAGTAAGGCACAGAGACCAGGGTGTCCTCACCTGCCACCCCTGCGGCCACTGCCGCCTCCTCACAGGGCTAGAGCTCCCTGTACACCTCAGTCACGCCCTTCATCTTAGGACTCAAAGGACACAGCAATGACACACCTGAACCTAATGATCTGACACAGGATCTGAAAGAGAAGGGTCTGACCAGAGGCACCCCAGAGAACAGAAAACCCTGCTTATTACTACTCGGCATGTCCATGCAAAAAAGATGCAAATCAAAAAGCATGAGCCGTGGATGGGGACAGGACCAGGACTAGCCATAAAGGGAAACAACATGGTTCAGTTACCTTCTGGACCTGGTATCTACACCAAAAGGTACCAGTGTGCCCTGACAAGCAGGACCTACTGCCTCACATGGAAGAATCTCTTCTGGGCTGAAGCTCAAAGGCTCCTGATTGGCTGTAATCCTAGCCAATCAGTAGGTGTCCTTTTGAGCATGTTTTGAAGGCTGCCCAGGTTCCCTGCAACCCCAACATCTCCAAAAAACATATTGTTTCCTTTTAGGCATGGAAGGGGAAGCCCTTCATGACATTGCTTTGAAACTGAAGACAAGACGAGATAGACGGACAGGATGGTTAGAGCTGGGAAGGGGGAGAGGGAAACAACCAAGGACTTCCGCCACAGACAGCCAGCAGCCATGACCTGGGGCCTGGCCTGGGGCGGGGATGCCCTCCTGCCACATGGAACACGGGGTCAGAGGTCAGAGTGGCCTGCGTGTAGAGTGTGCATCGGGCTTGTGAACTGGGGTGGGGAGCAGGGGAGGGACACAAATATATCGGTATGTTTATATCTGGTGTCTACAGAAATACAAAACCATTGCAGCCGCTCCCTATAGCTGGACCTGGAAGGAAACAGATAAGATGAAGCGAGAATAAACCGATACAGAAGTGAGGCCAGGAGAAAAAAAAAAAAAAAAAAAAAAAAAAAACACCCAGAGCATTAAGTCAGGAGGCAGGTTTCTCAGAGGCCATTGACTTGGCCACCCCAGTTTGGCTGCTCTCATCAGGCCAACTTCCCTCACTGTGCCTGGCCTGACCGGGGCTGTGGCAGGGCAGTGGGCTCTGTTGCCTCCCCATTGACTTTCTGCAAAAGCCAGATGCCAAGACTCTTGAGATTGATCCCTTGGGTGTACCTGGGGCAGGCAGAAGAGGTGTCCCAATGCCTGGTAAGATAGTAGGTTGCCCAAAAAGGCCTGGGACAGCTGCTGGGTGAGTAGACAGAGCACTAGCAGGGAGCTAAGGGACCTAGTTACCCTGTTTGCCACTGACAGGCAAATATCCTGAGCCTCTCAAAACCTCAGCCTCCTGTTCTGCAAAACAAGACGGAAGTAGATGAGGCCTAAAGTTCTGCTGAGGCTTAGTACAACTTGGGTTAGAGAAACACCTTCCAAGGAGATCCTGCTACACAACTTGCTTGCATTTCTATCACCAGAGTTGGAATGTTTAAGATCTTCAAAGCCAAGAAACAACCTGCAGTGTGCAGGTTACATTGGGACCCTGAGGCTGAGCCAGAGTTTAGAGTTCCTTTACCACAGATGGCTCATGTGATCTGAGGTCCTAAGGCCTTGCACTTCTATGGCCTGAGCAAGCCTAGGGAGAGAGAAGGCAAAGTACTGGCCACATACAGGATCTGAGCTGAGTCCTTTAAGCTCACACATGCTTACTCAATACTTATGTAACTTCACACCTGTGTTTCGCTGTTGAGGTGGATCCCTAGGCTTGGATGCCTTTGTTAAGTGTAAAAATAGTTATCAAGTGTCCCCTAGAGATACCATAAATCCTGAATGTCCCAGGCCGCAGAGGCTATCTGGTCAACCTCATGCTCCAAGGCTTTACTGTCTCATCCTAATGGCCTGGACTTTCCTCTGTATTTCCTCAGGCTCTGCCCAAGTCATGCTGGTTCACAGTGTGGCAGGGCTGATGGGGTCAACATGGGCTGTTCAAGTTTTCTTAAGATCCCTTTCACTGCTGCTACCAACAATTGCCATCGCAGTATGTTCCCAAGTCCCCACAAAGGAGCTCAACCCAGTGAGGAGCTCACAACGACCCTGGCTGACCTAGTCCTGGAATGATAGCTATAAAGGCCTAGTACTGCTACACTGCTAGTGACTACCTGCTGCTTCTCAAGGCTGAGCCTGGGAAAGTGTTTTGGAGATAGAGCTGCCTGCACTGTGAAGTGCACCAGGAAGGAGAGAGTAAGTACAGGGGCTAAAGGGCATTGGTAATGGAAGTTAAATTGAGAGGACATTGGCCATAGAAAATGTGACTGTGCTGTCTTCCATTGGGCAAATTATCTGCTTGGTGGTGTCAGAGGTTCCCATGACTAGAAAAGCTAGCCCCTTCCACTTGGTCACACAGGTATTTATTAATAGCCTAGTTTAAAGGTCTAGAATAGGAATGGGAATTTGGATATCTCCCTTAGCACACAAGTGGTATTCATGTGTAGCTCAGAGATCTGTAATGGTCACCAAAGGCTGGCCATGATTGCTTCCAGTCATTAGATGATTGTAAGCTCCTACCTAGCACTCCTTAGATCTCTTTACTCTGAGCAGAGGTCGCCTAGGGGACACCTCACCTGATGGGTAACTCCAATCATGACTATAAGGCTACATCCATTACAGGTATGAAGAATGTTGTGTTCTCTGTCCTACGCTGGTTTTAGAGTGTGTGGCTGGCTTCTGAGGGTAATGATGTAATGGTACAAGGATGTACAGAAATAGACAATAATAATATTGTGTGATTCTCAATCTTGGGGGGATGGCAGAAGTGTGACGCCCCAGCACACACTGTCTGAGAGCTCCAGCAGGAGACTAGAACTGCATGAAGTTACATTCTTCTGAGTGGGGCTACCTGGGAGGGTCCAGGTTCCTAGGTACAGTTGCTGCTCAGCATGGCTGGGTCTATGGACTTGTCAGAGTTGCCTATTTTTAACTAGTCAATCTTGGAGAACACACTTTTAGCAGATAACTCCTCTGGGATAAGCTGTCCCTCCCTCATCTGCCTGTGTGGCCAGGTGTTTGCACAATGCAAATTGGCACTAGGCACTGTCTGGAAGTATAGGGTAATGGTGAGTGGCAGGTATAGGCAGGTGATGGACACAGCTGGCACTCTGTTCCATCCTTCTTCCCATGTCATTAGTTTCAGAGCACTGTGGTTGGGCATACTCAAGTCCCACTGGGCCCTATGGACTTCTGCAGGCTTTGGAAAACTCTTTGAGAGGAGGCAAGGCAATGGATCTGGTCTCCATCATTCTGCCAACACTCAGGAGGTGTTAATACCTCTTCTTGCTGCCTTGTTTTCAAGGCACACCTGTGTATTCTAGATGAAAAAGGGGATAGGCACCTGGAGGTACAGGGTGTGTTTTTTCACTGGCATATGGAAAGCTTCATGTCAGTTGGTGAGATGGGTCACTGAGTCAGTAGCCATGATAGCCACATCATGGCTGAAGAAGGAAAAAGCCCAGAGCTTATCATCAGGTTTTGTGAAAATCAGGTTAGGAAAAAAATCAGTGAATTCATTCATTGTTTTTATCCAATGTGAAAGAGAACAGAATTCACATTTCATACATGGTCCAATAGGCTTTGTGAAGCACAGCTTTCGGCTACAGGGTTGCCTATCACGCTCAGGTCTCTGTACTCTTTGGTATTATAAGGGACAGGTTTTCTCAGGTGCTAGGTATTTTCTTTCACACCATGACTTAGAGACATGTTGGGAAGTGCCATTGTTGGCAGGAGACATCACTGCCATCTTTTAAGAAAGATGGCCACATCCTCTCTGATGCCTGTTGCCTAGCCAGACAACCATTAAGTGGAAGTGACTGACTTGATTAATGTCTCTATGGCACCTGTGGATCCTGAGAGATTCTCTGTGCCCAGAGAAGGGATTTTGCCATGGGCCAAAGAAGAAATGTCAGGCAGATGATGCAGGCGACGGGTGAGATGTTCCAGGCCTGGGAGTCCAACCTCAGAGCCACTGCTGGATTCCCTTCTATTATTTGAGCAGATAAGGGAAGGAGTAACCCAGTAATATCTGAAGGCAGTAACTCACTTTTGTCTCTGTTCTCCTAAAGGCAGTGTCCATCCCTTTGTCCCTCCTCATTGTTCAAAGTCAATGTCCCTATCTGTTGTCTTTCAGTTTCTTCTCTGGTCACCCAATGGAACTCAGGTTGGCCCATCAAAGGTCAGGTGGGGCAGGCTTGTGGGTTCTGTTGCCCTTGGCTTGCTGCTGGCCTTTTACACTCCAGGCCACATCTAGAGGATCCAGGCCCCTTGCAGGTCTTTGCACAAGTGCCTGTCATAAAGTGGAATTCTGACTTTCTTGGCAGACTTTGTGGCCGGTGTCCCTAACATCACATGTGTGCAGTACACCCCTGCTTCTGCATAGTGTCAGCCCTGAAACTTCTTTTCTTCCCTCAGACTTTGCCTACAGACAGCGAACACAGTTTGGTTTTCTAGGTTAGAGAATTCGTGGTAAGAAGGCTTCTGTGTCAGACAGTATCTCTGTCAGTTAAATGCCTGAGGCTTCGAGACCCTCATCTGCAAAATGGGGATTCTAGCTGTGCCAACTCCTCAAGCTAACATCTAGAAAACTTTTTGTCACCAGGTGGCAATCTTGTCAAACAAGGAAGTGAAGGATGTTTTAAAGGGCTAGCTCATAAGGGAAGCACGAGGAAAGAGCCTCGGGAAGGTAGGGTAAGGTAGGTCAGGCAGCTGAGGCGGAAGGGACTGGACTGCTGTGTGGGAGGCCACATTGGGCAGTCCCAGCATTTCTGCTCGGCCTTACATCGACACACTTTGTGTGTGGGTAGGCTTAATGTAAAGCCTATGACGTGGCAGTCTGTTTCATGTATCCCTTTTTTGATTCATAAACTGTTTATCACTGAGGGCTTTGGGTAGGCTTTGGCCAGTGCTGAGGATTTTGGGTCGGCCTCTGGCCCAGGAGGGACCCTGCCTATTTGCAGAGAGGAATGAGATTTCCTATGTGTCCTTCCCATGGTTCTAGGAAAGGCAGTCACACAGAGAAGGGGATGGAGCAGTGGACACGTAACCTAGGTCGGTGGTGGAAAGAAACCCTGATTTTCCAGGTCTGAGGTGCTACTACTACAAAGGGGCAGAGGTGTCTCCTGGTGACAATGCTCAGCCAAGGCAGATCAGTATTGACCCATAAAAGCTCTGAGACACAGATTGTCCCTGCTTCCTCACCTCACAAGGCAACAGTCCCTGAAGAGGAACCGCGGGCCCACTTTGTCCTGGCTGTTGCAACCATTGTTGTTTGGGCTTGAGGGTCACTGATGTGAAGGGGACTGAAAGAACACGGTGACAATATCTTGCTCTTTGACCATGAAGATTTGGGACCATGTGGCTCAAAAAGATAACATCTTCCTGTGAAGGTCTTGTTTCCCTCCTTTAAAAGCATTTGTTGGCAGCCATTGACATGAATGGCAGCGTATGCACTGCAGCCAGGGCACAGAAAGGCTGCACAATGACTACAGACACAGCTTCAGTTTCTCTTTTGGTGCCTGAAGTTACTTCATGCACGCTGATGACTCCAGGCCTCAGCCATGACGCGGTCAGATTCATCTGCCTGTCCACATACTAAGAGATGTGGGTGCCCTCATGCCCTGCATTCTCCTGGCATCTTCCTCAGCTCATGCCTGGCACTGGACTCTACGGCTCTCTTTCCTTTTATGACACCAACACCTTCTTCTCTAATGTCTTGGCATTCAAACTTGTAAAGCCTCACCAGGTTGGTCTTATCCATCTACTACTGACTGTCACCTTCAACATCATTTGACCAACTTCTGGTTAATAGCTGATAAAAACTGAGGCCTGAGAGCGAGGGTGTGGCCAGATCAGAGTCACAAGATGAGTGCCAGAGCCAAGTGTAGGACCCACGTCCCCTGACTCCCAAGGATGCCCTCTTTCTCCCAGTGACTGCTTGGATGGAGTGCCCATCCTTTCCCACCAGGGATACTAAGATAGTTGTGTACCCCGCCCCTCACTCACGGCAAGCCTAGGAGGTCAGTGGGAAGGCAGGGCTTGCTCACGTGTTTCTGGGGAGGCAACCTGTTCCTGTCCCTGGTTCACATCTCTTTTTGTCCCTATCCTCCTTGTCTGGAAGGTTCTTCCTCCTCCTCATCCTGTCTGTCCAAGAAGGTCCCACCTATCTGGTCCTTGTCCCTGTTGTGTGGTGGAGTTTGGCTTTGCTGTGTCTTCAAAGGCACTTAAAGGCTTCCTTTCCCCACAAGTCCATGGCTGGACCCCTGATCTGCTTTAACTGCTACACTGTAGCCCATTTGGATCAGGGCCCAAGTTCCGGGATTATTTAGCTAAGTTCCTGCAGCCAGGTGCTATCCCCCTGCTTCCCAGAACTTCCTAAAACAAGAGCCCCTGGGATGAAGAAGCCACTGGACATTCCTCTTCCCCAGACTTGTGCCTCTAATCCTTGCCTTCTTACATGGGAAACCTAAGTACAGGGGCAGGAGACAGAGTTGTCCAGGAAATGGAATGTCACAAAGAGCCTGCCCCTCCTGTGTGGCACCTGGCCAGTGAGGCCGAGTGGGACCTCACACACCCGGCGGCCTGGCTCTACACCAAAGGACACAAGGGACAGGAAAGGAGATGCCATCCTGAAACAAAACACAGTCGCTCTGGGGTTAGTTGGCAAGTCCAAACACAGCATTGGGAAGCAAGCAGAAGTCCTGTCCTCCCACTCTGAGCTCTGTCCAGGCTCAGCGTCCGCCCCGGAGAGGCTGCAAGGCAAAATGAGCAGCGGCATTAATCTGCTGATGGGTGAGAGAAACGTGAGCGTTACCCTGGGCTGGCCCCTTGGCTGCTCTCCCTCACTAAGGAGCTAAGAGGTGGCCCTGACATCTTTGCAAGGGTATGAAACAGAAAAAAAGAAAAAAAAAAAAACAAAGATATTCAGGCACCATTCACATTGGTCCAGGTAGAAATGGCCTGATGAATGGGCTGGGGGAAGGTGAAGGCTGAGAGACCGTGTTTAGGACACACCTGGTCTGCACTTCGTGCCCGGGTTCAAGCATGAGGCTGGGCCTACACACTCTTCTCCCTGACTCAAAGTTGGGGAAGAGCAGTCCCTCAGGTGCCTGGTACCCCTCAGCGGGGATGTCTGATCAATATGCTTTCCTGGCATTGGGGTCACCATCAACAGTGGTGATGATGGATCTGGGGACCCTGAGGGATGGAGCAGTGTATAATGGTCCCTTCAAATGGAGGCTATAGCTTTCTCAGTCTCAGGAAGGGCTTGTGATCTGCTAAGAACATGGGCTTTGGGGTGTGTTTGTGGCCTAATGTGCGCTAGCTCCTGGTGGCCAGTGAGGCAGTGTGTGCGAGCAAGGGCAGTGACTGTTCTGAGAGGCTGTGTGTGTGTGTGTGTGTGTGTGTGTGTGTGTGTGTGTGTGTGTGTGTGTGTGTGGGCACTGGGGACGGAGAGGAGAGATGGCTACTGGCTCTGTGACAGGGAGTCACACTTCAGGAACCTGCAAGAGAGGGGAGAAAAGCGACACAAAAGCGTCCTACGAAGGAACAGACCCGACCACAGCTGGAAGGAAGGCAAACCTTTGAATCAGGTCCTTGAAATACAAGCTGCAGGAAGCTAGAACATTTTGGTGGACTTCAAACTCTCTGCCTTCAACAACAATTTTCAGGTCTGTAAACGCTTTCGCTCTGCGCTGCTGGTTCAATTCCTTCAACATTTCTGCAGAGTAGAGAAGACAGACAGGGCCACGTTCCCATTAAGAGGGTTTATTTTTTATTTTTAATTAATTTTTTTTCAAGAAGTAGAGAAATAGAAAATACTTGATATTGTTTCTTGGCAAGGCTGGCTGAACACTGACAGTCAAAAAAGAGGTCACAAACAATGCGTAAACAAGCAGCCACTGGGAGGGGCTACATAACCAAGGGAGTACAACTTAAAAAAGCAAAAACCAAAACAAACCCACACCCAAATATGATTAAAAAAAAAATCAAACCCAGATATTGAAAGATTAGGGACTGGGGAAAGATTCCCATACTGACGATTGGAAACAGAAAATACATTACCACAAACAGCTAAAATAAATAAATAAATAAAAAATCTCTCCTAGAACCATGGAATAAGGTCTCCAAATGCCAATGGTGCTGATGTGTCAAGTAAAGCATGGCATTGTGATGTAAGATGGGCTGGACATGGTTCAGAGTAACAAAACTTCACAAACACTGCAAAAACAGCATCCCTTCTGTTAAGACACTCAAGCTATGGCGTGGAGCAGGTTTCCTGGGAAGGGAAGCCAGAGAACAGAAGGGCCCATCAAGGGCTTGGCAACAGCCTCCTTCCATCTCTAGCACTTTTGGGAACTTCTGGGGTAAGCAAGCAAGCAAGGGGTGGGGCTGGGTGGGGTATTTCTCTGCACCAGCCCCATTTTCTAGGCTAGCCTTCCAGGATGCCCATCCTTGCCTGTGCATTCGGCAACAACGGAAAGCTGCTTTGCAGCCTCTGTAGGTGTTAGGAGTGGCTTGGGGATGGAGGGAGTATTTCCTGTCCCAGTGCATACCTACCTTTGCCTGGAGTTTTGGCCCACCTGGGCTGGCACAGACAGAATCCAGGCCTGTGGGCTCCAGACCTAGGGATGTCAACACTCCCAGACCCACCCCAAGGGCTAGAAGGGAGAAGAGCCTGCCAGCCAGCCCATATAATTAAGGTGTACTTTTCCCTTTGCTGAAGTTAGGGCCTTTGGCTAAGTATCATTTCTCAGTAACCCCACCCCATCTGGCTGCAGTCAGGACCCCTCATCCTTTGCCTGTAGTGGCTGGACATCAGAGGCCTAGACCCTTATGTCAGAGAGACATAGACTGTCATCAGACAGTTATGATAGGAAAGTCCCCCTCACTGTTACTCCAAACCCTTCACATCTATGCTGAGTGGAGTTGGCTGTCTAGAATTACCCTCTGGTGTTCCCGACTTCAAGCCTGAACATAGGGTCAGGATCAGTTGGATGCTGAGATTCCCCCAACCCCCTAGTTTTTCTTCTGGGTTTGTCACAGGGTTGTTAGGTGTCCCTGGGTAAGATACCTCAGCTTGTGATAGGTCCTCTATTTCTCTCTGGGCCTCTATATTTAAATCTTTCAACAGGAAACTGAAGTTCCTGCTTCTATTCGCAGACACGGTGGTGGTGGTGTCACATGATCTAGTCCAGCTTAGGGGTAGAATAGGATTAGTGGGCCTTGACAGTCCAGCAGGCCTTTCTTCACAAGGGTACACTGGACTTGGGCTCTGTCTACTGAAGTCTAAGCATGTGGGGACTGAGATGGTGGAGGTGTCCCAAGCCACAGGCCATGCTAAGCCATGGACCCCTTACCACATGGTAGGCTGACTTGGAATTATGGGAGAATGCTCACAGATGTGCATGTGGATGACTCTGGCTGGGCCTTCCACCGTCAGCAGGGCCCAGAGACAAGGCTGCAGGTTGTGGGCTGTGTGTGTGTGTGTGTTACTGGAGTTTCTTGGTTCCTCGGGTCCAACTGCCCTCTTTTCAGTCCCAAATAAACACACAGAGACATACACTAATTTATAAACTGTTGGTCAATGGCTAGGGCTTCTTCCTGCCTAGCTCTCTCTTAATTATTAACCCATTTTTATTAATCTAAGAATTTCCAAGTGGTCTTATTTTACCAGAGAAGGGGCCAGACCCGTTACTCCTTCCTCTGCTACATGGTGTCTCTTTGCAGTCTCTCTCTGCCTACCTATCCAAGAATTCTCCTCGTCTCCTAGTCCCGACTATCTTCCTACCTCTATTGGCCAACAGTGTTTTATTCATCAGCCAATGAGAGAAGCACATCCCCTATCATGGTGGGTATAGGTGAGTGGAAAGCCAGAGGGCAACAGGAATGCCACAGTTGGCAGCTCGAGCTTAACGCTAAGGCCCAAGAGTGCTGTAGAGGATTGTGTGCAGGGAAGTGGAGAGGGTTAGCCTTGTTCTCCCGTGATTGGGCAGCCAGCCAGGATGACAGTGATTTAGGCAGGAAGACAGCCCATATCCAGTGAACTCTGCCTTCTGTGAGATATGCAGCATTGGAAAGGTAAAATAAAGGATTCCCAGCAACCTCCCTTGTTGAGAGTTAATGATGTAGCATATGGTCAGCACCTACTGTGCCCAGTGTCACTGAAGTAGATAGATTCAAGCTACTGTTGATGGTGGAGTCCTTCCATGATCTCACTGAAAGATGAAGAGGCCCAATGGGCATCAAAGGGCAGAGAAAGCATTTAGGCCTCAGCTGCTATGGGATAGGAGGGGGGCAAAGGCACATCTGAGAAGGGGCAGGAGGAAGAGTTTGGTTTGGAGTAAGCCTGTAGAGAAAGAGATGGTAAGGCACAGGTAGTGCGAGAGGCCTGGGCTGGAGATGAGCCTAAGGTACTCAGGGAGGACCTGTGGGCAGGCAGGGCACACGTAAACTGTAATGCTTGGATTCTTACAGAGCCTGCAGCTGAGCAAACCTGGTGGATTTTGTCATTTGTGAGTGGAGAGAAGGGTGGTGATAAAGGTGGAGGAAAACTTCAGGTGTGTCCCCACATGAGTGCAGGTACCTGCAGAGACCAGAAGACGGCATCAGATCCCCAGTAGCTGGAATTACAGGCAGTTGTGAACCACCTGACATAGTGCTGCCAACTGAACTCTGGCCCTTTGGAAGAGCAATATGCATTCTCATCCACCCAGCCATCTCTCTAGCTCCTAGGTCCTACTTATTCTCCATTTGTCATGAGGTAGTTAGGTGGCCCTGAACAAGTTATCACTACCTGTGGGACCTCCAGTTCCTGTAGGACAAAGTAGCTCTGAGGCTCTCTGGTCATCATACTGTGTCAGAAAGCAGATTCAGCCCCATCTTGTGGAGTTAGCTAGTGCTGGGGCCAGGCCAACACCCTACTCCTGGACCTGATGTGTTCTGATGTCTCAAAGGTTTCCCCCCTACAGGTCAAGGTTCTGGCAAGGACTCTAGCCACATCCCTAATTCCAACAGCGACACTGGTTGCACCACGGATCCCAAATCCGGGTCTGGATCTGGCAGGTGTCTGGGATTCAGGCGTCACCACTCTCCACACACATTTTCTCTGCTCTACGGCTCTACCTCTTCAGAAATCTGATTTAATAGTTGGGGACGATTATTCACTTCCAGAAGAATTTTTCAATTTATGAAAGTGCTCACCAGGGGATTCCTCTTCACAGCAGGCCCAGCGCATTCCAAGTATTGATCAGTTGGTATGTGCTTGCCGCTGCCTGCAGTGTGCCGGTGGGGAGGGTGGGCATCACAGTCTGTACTTGTCAGGAGCACACCCTGAATCCACAGGAGGAAGCCAGGACCTACTGGTTTGGGTGAAAGCTACGTGGCTTCTTCACCCTTTCGCAGAGCCAAATAACCCTCCTGAATTTTGGGGGTGTCTCTTGGAGACACTCCAAAAAGCTGGGCCTGGTATGGGAAGAGCTACATGTTTTGGGTGGAACCTACACCAAAAGGCTGGCTGTTCGGGGCCCCTGGCAGTACCTTTGCACTATAGGATTCAGGCTGGGCCAAAGAGCCTTGGGCCCTCACCAGGCGAAGACTCAGTGGTACCACATTAGTGAGGGGGCTGATAGTCTGAGCCCACCTGGAGGGCCACAGCTTTGGCACGTGGGGGTATTTCCTGGCCTTCTTGAGTTTGAGAGGGATGCCTCGCCCCTATGCTTACACAGCTGGCTGCCCCGTGCCTTGCTGCCTCCAATCAGGTACTCTTCTCCCACCATGACCACCTGGCAGAAAGCACACGAGCAGACATCCCAGTTTCTAGCCAGCCTTCCTCCAAGCCACCTCTATACAGCAGCTCGACACAGTACACAGCCACAGCCTCTGGTTAAATGGCCCCTTCATAGGTAAGCAGACGGAGGAAAGTGTCACCCAGCCCTAGCTTCTCCATTTTCCTTTACTTTCTAGTGAAGCCCTGCCCCCGTGTCCCAGGCAGCACCTGGCTTCCAAATATGTTCCCCTCTGCCCAAGTTGCCCTTCCTCATCCTTTGTCTGGCTGATTGGTTTCCCATGCCAGTCCTGATATCCTCTGGTCCCAGGTCTCCCAGCCTCTTCTTCTTACAGCTCTTGCCCTCTGCCTCTCCATGTATACTTTCCCACCATCCTCAGCTGCCTTCTTCATGGTACACTATGTCTTGTATATTATTTATTTACACATCTGCCTCCTATACCAGACTGTATGCAACTCTCAGCTCAGGGCCTGACATGTGTGCAACCCACACAGTAAGTTGCAAAAATTCTCAACTATCAAGAAGCAGAGGTCATTTCTCACCCTTTAAATCATGGCTGGCCTTATGATTTGCTTTGAGTTGTAGACTCAAAGAAGTAGAGAGGACCTTATTTGGGTGTTAATCCCAGCCTCAAGGGGACCTGCTGGCTTTTGCTACCTCTGGAGATCCCTACCATCACCTCACATAAACAAACTGGGGATCCCCTGTTGGAGGATGAGAGATGGCATGAAGCAGAGATTGAGCCATCCTAAAGTGTCATGTAGCCAGTCACTTGCTGCCATAGCAGCCTGACCTAACACTTAAATTGCCTAGCCAGAACCACACTCTAAATAAGCGAGTTTCCTTTTTAGCCAGTATGTTTGAGAATTGCTGGCTAGCTGGCAGGAGCCATTTGATTCAGAAGGCAAGAAAAGATGATGAACTCATGAACTTG